GTGTGTGTGTGTGTGTGTGTGTGTGTGTGTGTGTGTTTGGATAGGAGGTTCCAACGAAGGCTAAGGTGGCCTCAAACACCTGCCTCTTCCCACCAAGTGTCTGCATTACCAGATTGTGTCCCCATTCCCAGTCTGCTTGTGCTGTGCTTTTCTTCCAGCATCCCCATTCCACAAAACTTTCATCACGTGATGGAGCTGCCTCTCTCATTACTGAGCATGGGGAGTGTACATGCAGTATATGGGACGGCACGTGGTACCCATTCAGTGAGCCACAATGTATCGCAATAAAGGCAAACAAAAGAGAGAAGTCGGCTCCGCTGGTTCCTTCTAGTGTGAACTGGATGCCCACGGGTATTAAGCTAAACTCATATGGAGTGTCTGAAGGGAGAAGGCACCTTTTCTATTGGTGACAGTAATTCAAACTTACACACAACATGGTCCAGTCTAGACCCAGTAGCAGCTCTGAGCCTCGGTGGCTTTGTGATACAGGGTGCTCAAAACTGCTAGAGTCCTTTCTCTGTGAACCAGACTGCAGATCCTTAGGACTTGGTGTATCTGGGTCTCTAGGGACAGCATGCGCCAGCACCAACCACAGCTCTTTTCTCCCACACTGCTTTTTGAAGGGGCTTTAACCGCACTCGGAGGAGCTGAGCATACCTTCCCACTTCTGAAAGGACATCTGGAGTCTTCCTTCAATGGCCATGATGCCCACATCTCCACAGGAGAGGGGGGCTTCCCTCGACAGGCCTGGCATAAAGACACTGATGTCAGGGAGGAAACCGCCACCAAGTGCTGGCACTGAGAGATGATACTCAGTGTCCTTGTCCCAAATGATTTTGACAGTTTCCTCTTCCTAAGACAGAAACAGCATCTACCCAAGTCTATTTCTCTTGCTGGAGAAAAGAGGAGCTTCCACAGGCCTGCATGCTGCTGTGTGGGGAAGGAGCCTCCACAGGCCTGCATGCTGCTGTGTGGGGAAGGAGCCTCCACAGGCCTGTCTGATGCTGTGTGGGGAAGGAGCCTTCATAGGCCTGTCTGCTGCTGTGTGGGGAAGGAGCCTCCACAGGCCTGTCTGATGCTGTGTGAGGAAGGAGCCTCAGGGCTTTGCACTTGGGTCCTCTAGACAGGATCTCCCATCCAGATTCCTCGGGGGACTCATGAAATGCATGTCTGACAGGATTGTGCGTTGTTTCAAGCTCCAGATCCTCTTTCAGCTGCTCAGAATGAGTATCACATTTGCTTGGTGTCCTTCTAGAAAATATCTACCTTAATCTACTGTAATTTCAAGGTCCTCACTGGAGAATTCTCAGGAGAGCATATATTAAGGGTGTCACGGGAAGACATAGTTGACCTTTTTTGATTACAGGTGCCAGTTCCTTACAATTCAACCCAAATACAGCAAGCCAAACACACCTTGAGCTCAGAAGGACTAACACTGAAATTGCTTGAAGGACCCTTGGTCAAGTTCCCTAGAAACACACACTGAGAGGAAGGCTTGTGCCCAGGGGACTCCAGGCAAGCAGTGTCCAGGACAACTAAAAGGGATGGAAGAAACCAGACAGGCAGAGAGAGAAGCAGACGGTAGTGAGGCAGACGGTTCAGCTCATCCCCTAGGGACCTCTGTATTTGGGATGGACCTTTAGATTGTCCCTATTGAATCTCTCTGCTCTTTGCTGGTCATTGTAGCCACGTATAGATCTGCCTCCAGCGATCGGTTGTGTATCACCTTGGATAGGCAGCTCCCTTTGGTTGAGAGAGGGGAATTCTTTTTTATTTATTTTATTTTATTTTACAATACAATTCAGTTCTACATATCAGCCACGGATTCCCTTGTTCTCCCCCGTCCCGTCTCCCTCCCCTTCTCCCCAGCTCACCCCCCATTCCCATCTCTCCAGGGCAAAGACTCCCCTGAGAACTGAGATCAACCTGGTAGACTCAGTCCAGGCAGGTCCAGTCCCCTTCTCCCAGGCCAAGCCAAGCGTCCCTGCATAAGCCCCAGGTTTCAAACAGCCAACTCATGCAATGAGCACAGGACCCGGTCCCACTGCCTGGATGCCTCCCAAACAGATCAAGCCAATCAACTGTCTCACCCATTCAGAGGGCCTGATCCAGTTGGGGGCCCGAGAGAGGGGAATTCTTAAAGAGGAAAATGGTGATGGGCCATTAGCAGCTAACACTGACATCACTGGGACACTGATGGGACTGTGGGTACCACACACCAGGATCTCCTGTTCCAGCAAACTCACTCACTTTCCAGGAATGGGGGCCCTAAAAGAAAGCAGATGGCCTGAGAGCTGTATAATCAGGTGACAGGATGAAGGGCCCTGTGCTCAGGATGGCAGCCTCCACCCTCTTCCCTCTCTCAGCAATCCACACTCCGCTGGCTGAGCATCCGTACATGGCCAATGTGGCCAGCATGTTGCATTTGTATAGTTGACCTGTGTATTATTGGATGGAACCTCACACCATAGGTATCATCATTTTCCTTTTGTGAGAAAGAAAGTTAGCTCCCCGATATGTTTGGGAGCCTAGCAAAGTGCTCAATACGCGTTAAGTATGTTTGTCTCTCAAGTCTGCCTAACCTACAGTTTCCCCAACAGCTTCCTCTCTCCTGCTGTATACTTCTGCTGCTGCCCAGAGGGGAGAACTCTGGTCTCTGCCCACTGAGCCCTTATGGTGAGATAACTGCTTTTTTTTATTTCTACCACAGTGTGAGATTACTTCCTAGCTCACTTCAATTCTCTTGATTAGTTGATTAAATTAAAATGAATTTTTACTTTATTCTCGTCAGAGGTCCATAGAATACAAACCTTCGAATAAACATACTTTCAGGCATTCAATATATGTGTATCGGGGGTCCGTTATGTGCTGGCCATGTTATTCTGTGAGACTGCCCTAGAGGATGAGTTGTTTTCATCCTGGCTTTATGAATGAGGAAAACAGAGGCTTAGACAATTCAATAACTTCCCCCAAGATCAAACAGCTTGGGTTTAAACACAGATCTGCTCTGCTGGGACAGAGTCGTGTTCCCTCCCTCCCTGTTATTAAACAAATATGTATTAAAGGCCTACGTGCTGCCAGCGCTCTGCAGGAATGTTCTGGGATAAAGCTGCGTTTGGGACACGTGCACGCCATCCAGTCTTCTTTGCTGTTGTGTCCTGGAGCAGCAGCCACAAACATGAGGCTGACAAAGACTGAGTGAAGTGGTCGGTGAGGAATGTAGGGCAGCAGAATGTGGTTGCTTCTGGAAACAGCAGCTGCTCAGCTGCAGCCAGATGTTGCTATGTGAGAACATCCACCCAGATGGCCCTTCCTCGCTTCATGAGAAGCCACAGATCTGTTGTGTGTGTGTGTGTGTGTGTGTGTGTGTGTGTGTGTGTGTGTGTGTGTGTGTGTGTATGTGTGTGTGTGAAAGATCACAATACCTAAAAATTGAGGGCTAATCCAACCCTTCCATCAACATCAACATCAGTGTGGGTTTAAAAAGAGGCATGGGTGGAACGTGAGCCACAGGAGCCATAAATGTCATCTGACCCCAACTCTTAGCATCAGCTCAGCTGAAGGGATCTGGATCCGTCTCATGGAAAGATCCAATTGGAAAATGATACACACTTTCACTGCATCCTGAGATTGTGCCTGTATTCCAAGAAGCTTCACACACTTCAGTATTTCAAAGTTTTCTTGTCAGAGGGTCCCTCCAGCCTCTGTAGGTTCTTGGTCTTGTTCCTTGAAGCTCCATTCTTTCCTGAGACTGAGCTATTCCCTGACCTTCTGGCAGGAAATGACTTGATTGTTGGTGTTTGCAAACAGCAGTACAAGGCTACGTGACCAATGCTCACAACCTCCTTTCCCTTCTCATTCGTACCGCAACCAGATGGTTCTGAGATAATGCCACGTCTTTCCTGCAAAAAAATAACATCCCTTAACCATTCTACTAGCCCCTCTTACCATACTGGGAAGGCAATCTGTCAACACCCACCCACCCGGCATCACTGCTTCCCCTGTCTTATCTTTTGAGAGTGAGTGAGAGGACATGATCTGGTCACATTCCAAGGAGTCAATCATATACCATGCTGAGAGTTCGGAGGCTCACGTAGACAACATCAGTGTGTAGACTTGGAGTTCCGGCCCACCCAGGGATGTTTTCAGGATGTTTGGGACTGCCCCATCCCTCCCCAAATGACGTGGGATGCCAATCTTCCTCCATCTCTCAGCTGCTACTATCATATTCTCTAATCAAACACATCTAGTTCTTGTGCCTTACAATTCTCATGAGAGATAAAACCATGATGATGACTGCAATCCACAAACCTGGCACCTGGCCAGGCTTCGACCTCTTCTTCCAGCCCCTCCATTGACCTTCAACAAGACTCCAGTGGCATTGAGAGACCTCTAGCTTTGCTGACAATATAGCAGATATTAGTTAGGATAGAACAGTGCAGGGGGCCTGGGATTATTATAGGCTAGAAGAGGAATCCTGTGTTGTCATTTGAAATTAGTACCTTTGAAAGAGTGAACAATACTCCGAAAACCCTAGAAAATGCAGATGATAACCCAAGTACATTGCTTGACATGGGAAGAAGTTGGGGCTTAAAACCATATATTTGAATTATTTTCAGATCCCCTCCAAATAATATATATGCTATCAATTTAGTGTTTGCCGATGGACAAATTTGGATCACAGAATGAGAAACAAGTCATTTCTACCTCGTTTCACAGATGTATCTGAGTGACTACAGTGATCTTCACAACCACTCTAGCACATCAATGAAAGTGTCTTATTTGTGTGTCAAGACTTTACTGAGCCAATGATCGCTTCTCTACTTGACTGATAACATGGGAAAAGTTGCAGGCAGCAACTGAGGCCTCTCTGACTGAGATCCAATGAGACTTGTCATCTAGGAAAGCCTTAACCCTGGATTTGATGGCCACTTCTCCGGGCTTCACACTCATACAGGAACTCTGCCATCTTAAAGTTACGTCTCTAAACTGTTCGGAATATGCCCAAGTCAATCATTCTGTAGATTCCCATAAAAATACAAACAACTAGTTTAGGAATCTGTGGGCTTTACAAAAATTCGTTTATTTGTTGAGAAAAGCAGTACTGGTTAAAGAAGAGTTTCCCATGAACCAACAGGAAGATACAGATGATGAAATTATTTTAGAGGTGATGGGTCTTACAAGGGCCTGTGTTGAAAGCAATGTATCTTACTTGAAGAGGGACCAGATTTTCTCTGCCTTGTATCCCCTTGGTGCTGTTGACTCTGTTGATCAGCAGTGAGGTCCTTTGACCTGGTCATTGGAGCAGCAGTCTTTCCATAGCAAATGGCCTCTTCTGTATGGCCAGATGCAGAGGCATGGAGCGGATGACTTCAGATGTAATTTCCAGTTCTTGGAATCAAATACCAAAGACATTCCAGGCAAAGATTACCACCCTCTGTCATCTCTTCATCAACAAACATTTGCTGAGCTCTAGTAACCTAGGCAGTAGGCCAGAATTTGAGGACACAAAGCTGATTAGCGTGAAGCATAGCCACGAGCTGAGTGCCAACTTCCTCCCCTGACGTAAAATAAAAGTCCCACTGACTCCTATTTGCAGGAAAAAAAAAAAAAAGAATCTTTTCTCATGCATTCTCTCATCCGTGCTTTGTGAAATTCAGAACAACTGATAGACAGCTCCACATAACACAGGTGGCTGAGGCACCAGGGGGCTCAAGGCACTTGGCCAACGTCTAAGAACCTAAAGCATAGAGCTGGGATTTGAAGGAGGCCAGCTCTCCATCCACACTGTCCTCGGTGTATGCTGTCTGCCCTGGGAATTCAGTACCTGTCTCAAGCATTAGTATGAAGCACACAGAGTGTTCATAAAGGAGTCACACTGGTCCTTCTGCTGTGTCTGCACCTCATTCCTCACACCCCACTGCAGCCTGTCCCTAGAGCCAGGCTGAAGTAAATCTCCCACTGACAAGGCAAGATTCATCTACACACTCCAAGGAGCAGTGAGCCCCTGGGAGGAGGGTCATGCGCAAACCAGAAGCTGGGTTTCAGGACAGTTCTGAAGTTCTTGAAGTTTTTTGTTTTTGTTTTGTTTTGTTTGTTTGTTTGTTTTCTTGCTAAGAGACAATAATTTGGACAGAGGGCTTTTAGGTTCTTACTTGGAACCAGATAGCAATTGTAGTCTCTTCCTCCTCCCCCTCCCTCTCCTCCTTCTTCTCCTCTTCGTCCCCCTCCTTTTCTTCCTTCTCTTTCTCCTTCTCTTCTTCCGCCTCTCCTCCTTCTCCTTTCCTTCTCCTTCTCCTCTTCTTCCTCCTCCTTTTCTTCTTCTCCCCTCATCTCTTGTTTTCTGTGTGTAGCCCAAACACAATGCAAACTTGTTACAGTTCTTAATAAATGTTGAAAAAAATAACTAATCAATGGCTGGAAATACCTTTCCTTCCCCAGGATATATTGAACTCATTCTCAATAGTAATTGTGTTCCTGGTGTTTTGCACTCCAGAAAAAATGTGGTGTTTCTGGAAGCTATCAGTAGATCTAAATTAGCATTTTCTGTACCTTTAGTGATTCAAATGTTTCTTTTAAAAGTATACGCCATGTGTTTCTCTAGGCCAAGCTAGCTTGGGTCTTTATAACTCCCTGAAAAGGTAGTGTTTCTGACCCCTTTCTTGCCTGTCACTGTGGATTCTACATACCTCACACTCTGAGCTTCCTTACTCTAGGAGTCTCAGTGTGTAGCCCATCTCATGCAGGGTGTTAAGTAGGAGTCTTGTATCACTGCCACCTCATCCACGGGGAGTTGAGTTGTGTGACAGATTCTAAGTCTGGTTCTGTAGAAATGCTGTGAGCTTCCATAGATTCCCCAGCAAATTCCCTTTCTTCTTAAAGTGATCAAAGCAGATGCAGGTGATTGCAGCCAGCAAGTGGTCTAACCCTCTGTTGTCTCTGTTCTATTGGCTTCTGATGAGAGGCTTGTACAGGTCGTGGGTACCATGGGGATGCTCAGGGGATGTGTCATTACTGCCTTACAGTAAACCTCTTCACTCAGCCCCCCTGACCGTAGCTGAAGAGATCCCTCTATTCTCTGCCTCTTTCATGGTAGATGGAGTGCAACATCACTTCTCACCATGGACATATCAACCTAGGACATATCACAGTCTATACTTTATTCCTCCTTTTCCAGCCTCCACTCATTCAACTTTCAGGGAACAGCTGCTATGTACCAAATACTGAGGATACAAATATGAAAGGTTGTTCAACGTCCCCTCTCAAGAATTTAGTCTCCTCAGACTATTGGCTTGCAGGCAACACCTAAAAAGCCCTGGGATACTAGGTATCCACAGCAAAGCAGGATAATATGATGAGACTATACACACTTGGGCTTCACACCAGTTGGCAATTTCGCTGAAGTATTTCATCTCTCCAATTCAATTCCGTTTCCTCGGGTATAAAGCAAGATTAATAGTGATGTTTATGTAAGGTGTCTGTGAAAATTAGATAAAACAATGTACATGAAGTACTTAGCAGAGTGCCCGACTCTTTGTAGCATTCACTCGAGTTATTAATGAGAAGTCTTTTTGAGGATGTCTGTCAGGAAGCCCTTCACAGAAGGAAGAAAGCCTGCGGAATAGTTAAAGGAAGTTTTCATCTAAGCCGGCAGGTGCACCTGTGCATCTTGTTTCTTCGTCAACAACTATTCATTTAAAAATGTTTCTTATAACATCCTGGGATGCAGAGTATCCTGTTTTTATTCTTCTATTTTGCAAACAGAGAAGAATGTCAGAAGTTAATTAGTTCAGACATGCTAGATTTCTTGTTTACCCAGTCAGGCCTTCTGTGAGTAAAGACTACAGAACACCCAAAGGGAGTTCCTCCTCTGTGTGGAGCCTTATGGAGAACACAGAAATGCACCACAATGAGTCACCATCAGGTGACAACTGATGTGAGTGAGGATACAGAGATAAGCACACTATGAATTCAAAAGAGAGAAATGCCCACATGGCAGTGCTGGGCTATAGTTGAAGGAATAATAACCTGCTGAAAGCAAGAAGGATAATCAAAAAAGGCCATTATAAAGAAGGCGACTCGATACCTGGGCTTCAAAGATGAACAGAATTTCCATAGCAGGTGTAGGTGGAGAGCAGGAGGAGAGCATACCCGATAGGAGGAAGGGATCGGAGCAAGGCATGCTGAGGTGAAGACCACTGCACGTGGCTCACTGGGCAGAAAGTTTCATCTTTCACCATGAAAGATAAGAATTTGGAGACTTAGTGAATTGGGAGTTCATCCTTCAGACTAGCAGTAGCTACATCCTACAGTAGCTAGCAGTTGGTTGGTTGAGGTTTGACAATCTTAGGAAGAATATAGATGGATTTGGATGGGTAGAAATGAAGGACAGAATAATGAGGGACAGACTATAATGGGTGAGAATGAAAGGTAGAATAATGGAGGTGGGAATTCAAATGGGAAGCCATTGCCATCATCTGCACATAAAATTGGCCTGGCACTGAAAGATTAGATGAGAGAAAGGTTATGCCTGCATCACCACCCATTTTTGTGCCTGGTTCCCTAGAGACAAACAAATATCTACACGGCCTGAGTTCAAAGTGTCCTTTGCCCTGAAGTATTTCTTTCTAAAACCATTGATACAGACCACCACTGGAAGAATTATTTAGAGTATTCCCTTAAATTCAGAGCCTTGTGCCCCATGGCTGTGTCAACCTACAAAATCAAAATGGCTAGGACCATGACGCCCATCAACACAGTTAAGCAGGCCCTCCAGATGGCTGTCAAGACCTGTTCAAACTATATGAATACCTGATAAGTTAGTTGGCTGTATCTGCTTTCAAAGTGTAGAAACTGGGGCTCACAGGGTCACATGACCTTCCCAAGGTCACCTGATATCTAG